GGGGGGGGGGGGGGGGGGGGGGGGGGGGGGGGGGGCGGATGATTTGGATGTCGATGACCTCCATTCCTTTTCTCATCGTCCCATGACTGCCATTAGGGTAGCCGGCTTCCTGTCGGGCCTCAGCTTTAGCAGTGCAACTTTGTATGTAGCAAGTGTTTGTGAAAAACCTTCCTAGCAAATCTTGTATCCGTAAACAAGGCGTCAGCGTCCCCGCTGACTCCCTTTTCCAGCCGTGCCCGGCGCCAACGTATTTGTCTTATTGGCATTCCCTGAATTCTTGAGGGAGAGAGCATGTACAGGATGTGCAGTCGAGAACGGAAGAAAAAGAACGGAGGGACGGGTGGATCATTATGTGAAGAAGGAACTTTGTTGACTTGCTTATTTATAGCAAGTGCTTTTGTGCTTTGTCACATTCGTTCTTATTCTTCTCTCAGATTTATTTTATTTTGTGCGGTTTTCCATCTTTTAATTTATTTCGTATTGAATTTTATTAATTTCTTTTTAAGTTTGTTAGCGAATGTTATGTATGTTTTGCCATAGAAAGTCCTTTTTCATTTGCCTGCATTTTCCAAATCAGCAGTCATTTCACACGCTGTTTAGGATGCTTCAGGAGTTTTTATTAATTTAATTGTCTTCAGAAAAACTTTTTTCTTCTCCAGTTATCCTTTCATTCCAGGGCCTTTCTTCCTTGTTTGCCTAGTGGAGCGCTTTTGTCGCGTCGCACTTCTCGAAAACACGTCCAGAGGGGAATGGAGAGAACAGAACAATTAATAACGCAATGGGATTGTCAGCGGGGGTGGAAGGCATTCATCCATTGTGGAGACCGAGGGAGGAAATCCTAATGGTTTCCTCTCAATGGATGATCAATTGGGGCATGTTCTCTAGACCCCTGCGTGACCCATACTGAATTTTGTGGATGCACGCCCCTAGTCATTGTTCTTGTGAGTGGGAGGCCCCCTCATTTTGCCACTGAAACTGGCACTAATGACCCATCGATTTTCCTCCCTCTCATTTTCATAACTTGAGGCCCTGAAGGCATTGCTTTGGCACGAGACCTTCGGTGATTTTAATGGAGAATAGATCCTGAATTTCATTTTTCGTTGTGGTTAACCCCGCCGCACACGAGGCAAATTTTGTCGCTCCGCCGTCGCGCGGCCGTCGCAGATGAGATCTCACGCACGGAGCAATCTGCAAACAAGGGGATGGCAATGCGGACCTAAATTTAAGGAAGCTACCATATTGAGATGTTAGGTCGCAATGTGATTCGTCGATGCTAGCATTTGGGCGGGCCTACATCGCAGCAGCATCGCAGGACCCCCGCACACAGTCGAGCGACGGCAATATTTATCGCCGAAAAATTGAGCAGAGAGCAATGTGCTGGCGATGGTCGCGCAACGGTGGAGCAAAATAAAATTACCTCGTGTGCGGCGGGCTATACGGCCTGAGGCCGGAATTTAGTCTAAAAAGTGTCCGAGTTTCATGGAAAATATTTCAATGGCTAATGCGTAAGTCACGAATGTGTTGGTAGCCGAGAGCGAGCTGGCCACTTTCAGCCGGCTGCGGAGCCACTGGCGGAGTTCCGCGCGACTGGAATCCTCGCTGTTCACGGAGGAGAGTCGTTCGCGGGCCATCCAGTCCCAGTATGCGGAGGCGGCCCTCACCCCTGTCCCAGTCCTACGAGAGTTGGACCGTGTCCGGACGGACGGCGTCCGCGGGTCCCGACGCTTCACGTGCACGCCCGTCATCGGTGACCGCAAGGTCAAGATCCATCTCGATATAGAAACTCGTCGGGTGAGTTCCATGCTATTATTATTTCAATGTGAGCTTGTGACGGAAAAAAGAGCTCGGTCAACGGTTCGCTGATTGGATTATCTCTATTTCGGACTTGTTATTGAGAAGTGAAAAAACTTAAGCATGAAATAAGTGTTAGAGGAATCTTGTAATTGAATGGCAATACCACGAATACCCAAGAATTGCACTAGCAAAATGCTTGTGCAATAGGGATTATAGGGATGATAATAAGAAAAGGGGGAAGAAAATATGGTAATTATATGTAATTTAAATGAAGCCTAAAATTGAAAATGATCTTGAGTGAAACAGGAAAGAGTGAAAATTATTTAAGATAAGAACGAAAAAAGTCATTTTCGTGACTTACATAATGCTGTTTTGCTCATTCTTATTAAAGTTATCGACGACGCTGCAAATGAGAATGAATTATAATTCACTTTCTTCCTAATGAACCTGAACGCAATTAATTGACTTGGGCTCTCCCATCTCGTTACCGCCTCTGAATGCTGGGATGGAGAATGGGCTCTGATTTCCAGATAATTGATTCCGAGCTGGTTTCTCCATGGGAATTCGCCACGTTCGATTCCACCTATAGATAGAAGACTTGACATGATATACGTGACGTCTTCCCCTGAGAGGAACGGGAATCCTGTTAGTCGTGATGAATTCTCGATGGAAGTCTCACGTGTTCGCCGAATCGCATCCTGGAGAATATCAGCAGATTCTGTCATACAATAGCGTCATGAGAGAGACTCTTTTCAAGGGTCATGAATTGAAGCGAGTCCTGTCGATTTCGAATCCGCCCTTTTTGTGATGCAGCAGTGGCTTTTATATGGGGAGGGGTAACCGACTTCCGATTGCCATTTTGGGCCATTCGAGGGGGTCTGTCGTTTCAGTCGGGTGAATCGGACGTAAAGAATGACTTGCTTAAAAAGTATTCCCAAACCTGTGGTGTGTCGTCTGTCTTGCTCGATTTTCTTTCTCCTTGAGGTTCTCCATGGATTTCATGGTCTCCGCTCCCGGGACTTGGTTTTTTTTTTTTCTGGTTGCGCGCTTTCATTGTACGTATTCGTAGGCTAGGTCATGTACGTTTGTGGCGCAGTCATCTCCTCTGACTGAGTCATGCACCATATAATATACCGCATGTGTCCTATTGTACCATGCGAGACAAAAAGGCGCTCTTTGAAATTCTAAGGTGTTTATGAGACGGTTGATGGCATAACAACCTTTTTTGTAATTATTGTCGTGTACCTTCTAAACATCTTAATATTTTCGCCTGTTTATATTATGCCGTTTCACAATGCAAACGCATTTACTGAAGCAACTGGAATTTAATTTTTTTTGCTGACACTGCAACACTGACCTCTAGGGGAGGCAATTCAAACTTTTTCCCTTTCCACTTCAGAATCTGCTGAACAGATCTCTGATTCACACCAACATTACATACACTTTGCAGCTGTAACTTTTGTCTCTCTGAATTAACATATTGAGAAACAATGACTTCTTTCAAATATGTATTTTTTCTTAGTTTAGGCCAATTTTGGTGTACCTCTCTCTCTGCTCCTCTCAAACGAGCCAGTTCTTGCTGCTGGTAGACCAACGTGTAAGCGGACCGTTTATGTCATCCTTGACTTGTAAATTCTCGCACAATTCTTGATCTATCCCATACTCTCTCAAAGTAGCAGGCTTAAATCACAGCTTTCTCTTCCCATTTTTACTGACCAATCGAGGAGCATTGGCCTGAAATCGTTGCCAATTGGGTGCATCCACAACTTTTCCATCATTAATTTTCCTCGCGCAAAAATGGAATTCAAGTTGCTATTGTAAAATTTCTCTTGCGTTGAAACGGCTAAAAAGAAATGGGCATAAACTCTTGGGATCTCTAGAATATAGGAAAAAGTGAGAAGTAAGTAAGTAAAGAAGTCCGAAGAAATCTTAGTTTTTGCTATCTGGCTTATAATCGTGCTATTATAAATGCCGCTGAGTTTCAAGGGCAGCGCGTTTTTATCCTTACCTGGGATATATTTTTAAAATTATCCTAAAAACTGGGTTGTTGGAATTTGTCTTTTCATTTTCAGTCAGTTCATGTGACCGTATAGAGGATTCTCACGCATTTTAATTTCGTGTAACAATGTAAATAATGGCGACCGTTCAGATTGAGAGAGTTACTCTCATTTAAGGCGATGAAATTGTCAATCTTGAGTTCCAAGACTCATCTGAAACTTGAACGCGAAAAGATTCACTGCCCCCCTCTCCTTCATTTTGTTGAAAAGTGGGAGCCTGCAACGATGTTACGCAACACAATATCGTGATGCAGGGTTTACATCGACGTCAACACTTTGTATTACAAGGGCAGTAGACGGGCCTGTGAACTGACCCGCAATCTAGTTACACACCGTGCGTCTTGGATAAGGGAGACAATTCGAGAGACTTCAACGTACGCTTTTCTCTCTGTATGGATGGTCGTCATTATATTTACATAGCTGCTTAAATTAATTTTATGACTATCTTCTATACGGCCCCATAACTTTCTAATGCAAATTCCTGTTCTAATAACCCAGTTTTCAATGTGAATTAAAGCATACATATTATTCCTCTGACTGTCATTTCACCTACTATTTGGGTAACATCGTGATTTTCCAACCCCCCCCCCCCTCCCCATAGATTTCACTCTGATGTACTGACCTTTGGTCATGCTATACGTATACAGTACAGCACCTTGAACAGAGCCAAAATGTGGAATGTGGATTGTGTAAGAGAAGCTGAAGCAAGTGAAGCAGGTGAAGGAAACTGAGAGAAGCGAAGCGAAACCCAAACCTCATTGGCCTTCTCCGTTTTCGTTCCTCTACAAGTCACTTCTGGCTTCACCTTTCCTCGACCGGGGTCGATGCACAGTTTTCCATCCTAATTCTATTTTCACCCCAAAAATGAATGCAGTTACACTTTTTTTAATATTGAGACAGAAAAATTCGCGATTGCGTGGACGATAACAGGCAGGCGGAGTGTAAATGACCCGAGGGGATAACCGCGGTTGCCAGGTGATAAAATTGGGTCCACTGATAATGTGAATAATGAGTGGTCGTTGACACTTGTGATGAGGTCGATAGGGTTATCGCGTATAGAAATCTGGGTGGGATCCTTTTTAATCTGTCTTCACGAGTCTCCCTTCTGCTCCTAAAAAGTTCTGTTCTAGTGAAATCCGTGTCTAGGGAATCTCTTTAATCTTGGACGATTTCAATTTAGTTTTCACCTCTGTTCTGGAATAGAAATGCTTCTGACCTTGCATTTCGAATCCAATAACCCATTTTCTTCTATAGACTTTTTTACGGGTATTTGCGAGTATTGCCTTTACGTAGATTAGTTTATTCCTGTAAAATTTTCGTTATGTCGCGTATTTGAGGGATCTCCTTTATTTTAGCCCAGCTGCTGTTTTTCCTTTTCAGCTCCTTATGTAAGCAGCAGTAAATAAGAAGTATCATCTTTCTTGGATTTCTACGTATTTATCCATCTGGGAATTCGAAGCGGCGCAGATGAAAGAACTACGACCTGGAAGTAAACGACAAGGAAACCACGGACCCCGAGCATAATTTACACTACAGGATGACCCCGTAGGGGGAATGCAATAGATTGCATGGGGGTTCCAATAAATCTCAAACCCCCATTCTCAGCCTTCTCCCTTTTCTCCGGCTCCCCCCCCTTTGGCTTGCTTTGTTTCCCTGGCACCCAACCAGGTGTGATTGCCCTATACCAGTCTATATAATGCATCCCTCTCTCTAGTCTTCTTTCCTCTTTTCTTTCTCTTCTCGATTCTTTCCCTCCTTTTCCTCTTATCGAGATGAACAGGGAAATCCTGCAGGAATTCCCCTCAACTTCCATCCCAAATTCTGCAGATCATACTGGTGATAAAACGAAGCGGCGAGCTGTTTTCCTCCCTATCCATATTTCCAAGGTTTGTTAGAACCTTCATGCATGAAATAATCGTCTTTAGGGATGCACCGATACCGATCCAAAGTATCGGTATCGGCCGATATTCAGTGGATCGACCAGGATCGGTATCGGCCGATATTCAGTGGATCGACCAGGATCGGTATCGGCCGATACCTATATGGCCGATCCGATCCGATTCTCCCTTGCCGCACGCCATACTTGATGCGCAGCACGTACATTTTGGGAACGTCTCAATAAATAAATAAGAAACACTCGTAATGGCATACGGTTCCTTAAGTCCGTCATAGTTTTTGTCAATCTTCAACTGATGGACGATGAGTTTGGGCATGGTTAAAGCAGAATGCGGGAGATTTGAGAATGGCATTGTACAAATGGAATGGGCCAGAGTCATTCACATACGCATTCATTCCTTCACTTTCCCCCATTCCGTCTCGTCTCCTGCCTTCCCGCGCTGATTGGTTTGCGCAGGCGTACTTTGTGCTCACGTCCATCCCACCTCCGGCTCTCCCCTCGAGCACCGATCCCGGTTGTAGTTGCATCAACTCCTCAATCCCTTAAGGACATGAGACGTCGTTCCTACTCCTACTCCTCTTCGCATCGATCGTCCATTGTTCGTAGTACCTACGTCCGACGTATTCTCGGCTGGCCCAGTGAATGGCGGGGGAAGTTTTGGCCTATACTGAAGAAGTTAATTTATCGGCCGACGTAAATGTCTCCAGAGCTAAATAAATGACAGGAATTTTGAACGTTGGGTCATTAGTGTCCGACGATTTTTTATTTCTTCCCTTCCATGCCAAAGGTAGCATAAGGCCTACAAAGGTCTGGTCCTGTATCGTGGTTTCACTTCTGACTGCCAAACTTGTTCCCATCGAAGTATTTTTTTCCTACCGGTATGTAACTCAATTTGCGCATATTTGCATTGTCCCAATGTTTCCATATGAATAGTTCTTTTTTTTTTTTACGTACTGTTATGCATCCAGGATTCGCCTTTACTTTGTCTTCTGCACTCGTTGCGACTGAATATAATTTCCTCTCGTCATCTCTCTATAAATACG